GTGCAATATCAGTACAACCGACCCCATGTACTGGTAAGTATCGAGCCTAACCTCGACGAAGTAGTAACGAGGCTAAGGCAAGGCACCTACAATCAACCTGTACAATTTAACAATGTATACGCAAATAACAGGAAGGAAGAACTAAACAGGAAATGTCGGGAGGAGAAAACATACTGAGAGGAATACAAGATAAAGAACTACAATAGAATGATCACCGGAGTAGTCAATATACCATGAATCAACACGAATAGTGAATACAGTAAGAAAAAATGCACGGGATCACCCTTCGTGCTTTTACTCTCAATCTCACCATAAAATCAATAGAAACGGCACGGCATCACCCTTCGTGCATTAATACTCACAATATGGCACGACATCACCCTTCGTGCATTAACACTCACAATATGGCACGGCATCACCCTTCGTGCATTAACACTCTCCCTTACCATAATGCAATGCATAAATAACAACAGGGAGATAGAATAACAAGTACAAACCGTACTTCAACATTTGGTTCCATAATATCAATCTCAACTTGAAATAAGAACTCAATTATCACCAGAAAATCCGTAAATATAATAAGAACGATAATTTGGATAACACTAGTATAACACGTAGCAATTTGGCATAGGAATGAGACAATGTCAGAAAAATAGAGAAACATGAAAAAACAGGTAAATTGGCGGCGCATAGGTACTCGTCACCTCACATATACGTCGCTCACAAGAATTTCACTTAGCAAGTAATCTAAGGTTCCTAATTCCCTCAAGTTAGGGTTAGACACAATACTTACCTTGCTCCGAATGCCACTTAATTCTCAATCACAACTTTTCCCTTGGAATTCACCTCCAAACCACTCATATCTATTCAAAAATGACTCAATAATATCAAATTTTGCTAAAGGAATCAATTACATTGCATAAATTTATATTTCCTAAATTTTCCTCCAAAAAGTCGAAAATCAACCCCGAGCCTGCTTGGTCAAAACCTGAGGTTCGAACCAAATTTCATTTACCCATTCACCCCCGAGCCCGAATACATAATTGGTTTTGGAATCCGATCTCAAATTGAGGTCTAAATCCCCAAATTTTCAAAATCCCTACTTTCTACCCAAAACCCCTAATTCTACTATGAAAACCTTAGATTTTTGGTTGAAATCTTGTAAAATGTAGTGAAAGATTGAAAGAAACCAGTTTAGAATAACTTGCCTAAGATTTGGGGAAGAGATGGTCTTTGGAAAATCGCCTCTTGTGTTTTAGGTCTTGAAAATTTGGGAAGTGAATGAAAATTCCCGTCCAAAAGTCATTTTGTTCAGCTTCAGACGTCGCATTTGCGACCTGAGCTTCGCAAATGCGAAGCTCGCAATTGTGAATGGGGCTATCACAATTGCGAAGCCTTCACAATCCCGCTGCCCTTCGCAAATGCGAGAAAAGTATCGCAATTGCGATCACTGATCTCGCAAATGCGGAGAAAATATCGCATTTGCGATCTATACCTCTTCCAGACTCCCTTCGCAAATGCGAAGAAAAGTTCGCAATTGCGAACACAGGCTGGCCCAGCTTCTCTTCGCATTTGTGATGAGAAGTTTGCAAATGCGACTTCAACAGTGATCGCAAATGCCAACCATGACCTCGCATTTGCGAGGTCTGAGGCCTGCAACACATCTGAAGCACACTAGCTATTTTTTTCTAAGTCCAAATCACTTCGTAGCCTATCCAAAACTCACCTGAGCCCTCGGGGTTCCAAACCAAACATGCACGCAAGTCTAAAAACATCATACGAACTTGCTCGCGTGATCAAATCGCCAAAATAACATCTAGAACTACGAATTTAGTACTAAATCAAATAAAATTCTCAGGAACACTTTAAAATTTCTATTTTCTCAACTGGACGTCTGAATCACGTCAAATCAACTCCGTTTCTCACCAAATTTCACAGACAAGTCTTAAATATCATAATGAACCTGTACCGGGCTCCGTGACCAAAATACGGACCCGATACTAGCAATGCCAAATATCAATCAATTCTTAAAAATAAATAATTTCTAAACTTTTAATTTTCATCAAAAATTCATAACTCAAGCTAGGGACCTCCAAATTCGATTCCGGGCAGACGCCCAGGTCCCATAATTCGATACGGACCCACCGGGACCGTCAAAGTACGAATCCGGGCCCGTTTACCAAAAATGTTTATCAAAGTCAACTAAAATTAACTTTTAAGGCAAAAATTCTTATTTTCATTAGTTTTCAACATAAAAGCTTTCCGAACACTTGCCCGGACTGCGCACGCAAATTGAGAAAGGTAAAATTGAGATTTTTAGGGTTTAAGAGCGCTGATTCGAGTCTAAAACATAAGATGACATTTTGAATCATCACAAGTGTGTACGCAGACCTTACCCCTACCTTGTGAAGGTAGAGAGGCTGTATTCAAATATGACTTGGAGTCTCATACTCAAAAGCAGATCTTGAAATCCATCAATATCATGGCCAGCAAGTATCAAATTCAATGTTATCTACATCAAATTCCTAGAGAAATTGCACATTGGCAACACATTATTGTATCGTCATGAATTATGGAAACTTCAGAGTGAAAAAGTAAGTGCCTTCCTCAGGTGGCCAACAAAAGAAATACAATTTGCATTTAAATCTTCAATTGTGCCAAGTAAAGGGAAATCTTTTGTTTTCATCAATTCAAAATCAGTAGGGAAATAATGATTGTAACGAGTAGGGATGTACAAATAAAACCGACAAACCACACCAACCCGATAATCCGAGTCAAACCGAAAAAAAAAATCCGACTATGGTTTGGTTTGATTGGTTTGGTGTTGGAAAAAGAAAATCCGACGATATTTGGTTTGATTTGGTTTTAACTAAAAATAGTCAAACCGAAACCAAACCAACCCGATATTATATGTATAGAAGTTTTAAAATATTTAATACATGAAAATATTTATTGTAGTGTAGTTTATAAATATTTCTTAAACTTTTTCATGATTTTATCTTTTAACGTATTATTTTAAGTTTGGACTTATAATTTTTGGATGCTCCAATAAGTTTTATAGTCCATAAATGTTAGTAACTCAAATAAATCCTAAACAAAAATCAAATCAATACTAATGATAATAAAAGACATTCAATTCAATTGTACTATGAATAAAAATAGTGTTGGATATCTATTTTTTAGTTTTTCTATGATTTAGATAAAATGCATAACTTATTTTTCTTTTAGTGTTTAGTCATGTAAATAATAGTACTAATTATTTGCCGTACTTAATTTAGCAACTTATTAGTAATTTTAAATTATGTTTGTTTTCATTATGGCTAATTAATAATATTTATTTTATACGATTTTCTCATCTTTATTGTTGAATATTTTAGTACAATGCCATGAATCATCTCATATTTATGTTATTTTATTAAAAAACACCTTATATAGTTCTATCTTACTAGGATTACAGAAATATTTGGAGCACAAATTCTATGTTTTGTGCTATGAAGACTTTATGATAAAAAACCTAAAACAACCCGAGAAAAACCGAGATTTAAAAACCCGACTTTTATTGATTTGGTTTGGTCTTTAAATTTAATAACCCGATATAATTGGTTTGATTTGATAATTAGAAAATCCGAACCAATCCGACATATGTACACCCCTTGTAACAAGTGTAATAAAGATCAACCGAAGTCCTCTATTCCCATCTCTTGGCAATTTGTGTTAATTCCTTTTTGTTTGCTTCTAAGTTCTAACAGCCCTAGCTAGTGCTAATTTGGTGTCCGTTCCAACTCCAAGAACAACCAAAGTGAGCAACAAATCAGTAGAACAAGAAAGAATGGCAGTAGCCACTACGGCAAATACTATACCAATTTACAGATCTCAAGGAAATGCTCTTCTCACCATAAAAACTTAGTTCTTTTTTTATTAGAAAGAAATAAAGAAAAAAACGTAGAAGAAGAAAACAACTTACTAATATTTCCTCCCTTGAGCTTCGCCTCTGCCACCTCCTTCGTCACTATCACAAACCAACACTTTTCTCCATCTCCCACCACATATTATCTCAGGCGCACTGATCACAAAGGCTTTAAGAAAATTCAAAGGCACATGTTTTGATTAATTTTAAAATAAAAAATCCCTAGTTTACTAATATTTCCTTCAAAAATATGGGCATGATAATACATAAAAGGGCAAGATATGCCACTGAACTATGCGAATTAGGACAGATATGCCCGTCGTTATTAGTTTGGCACAGATATGTCCAAATCGTCCAATACTTGCTCATTCATGCCCTTAGTTAGACGAAGCCCACTATTTTGTCTTTCTTAAATAATTAATAACCGGACCCAACCAAAATCTACTGACCCGATCCGTTATGACCCAACCTACCCTTATTTCTAGATGACCCACTAGTTATTCCCTTATTTCTAGATTGAAGGATCAACTTTGAAGTAGCATTTTGTTGGAGAAATATAGTGATATTTTCCGGGACATAAAACTATGTTTTAGAATTTGGTTCAGGGATTCCTTTCCCATTTGGCGCCATCTTCTTTCTCTTTTTTCTTGCTTCAGCTTGGAGCTGGCTTGAGAAGAGTAATCTGATTGTTTTGTTGTGACTTGAGAAGAGTAATCTGATTGTTATGTCTGTGTTTCAATTTCAGATTCAAAGTCCAACCAATCATCTTCAGTACTAAAGGCTAGAAATAAAGGAATAACTAGTGGGGTCATCTAGAAATAAGGGTGGGTCAGATCATAACGGACCGGGTCAGTATATTTTGGTTGGGTCCAGTTATTAATTATTTAAGAAAGACAAAATAGTGGGTTCCGTCTAACTAAGGGCATAAATGAGCAAGTATTGGACGGTTTGGACATATTTGTGCCAAACTAATAACGACGGGCATATCTGTCCTAATTCACATAGTTCACTCGCATATATGGTCCTTTTCCTATGATAATATGTATAGACAACATGCACCTTCTTTAAATTGAAAGCTAATAATACCAGGGACTTAAAATAATGGTAGAAGGTTTCAATAGAAACAAACTTTATCCATGAAATTCATACCACCGCATGTGGAACGATGCAAGGTTTTGAAGGAAGATGACTAATTTCCAAGTAATTATGCCAAAGAATACAAATAATTTCAGCTAATGACACAGAACACTGAATCTATTGATTTTGCGGTTTATCACGTAAATAAACTGCTACAAATTCCCACGTCAGTACTGTGGGGAAATAGAAGGTTGACTGCAGAGAAAAGCACAAGAACGTGGAGATACCACATGCTCCCACTGAGCAAGTTTCGAAATTTTAACTAACCTGAACTCTCTCATTATGCAGAACTTTAGTTGTTTATCACGTACGAATATATGCAGCGGAGACTTCACTTTCCTTTCTCCTTACACTTTGAAGCAGCAGCCCATTTGAAATAACCACAATTTGCTTCAGGATTTGATGCAGGTCCCTGAATAGAGAATATCGGTTTTGTAAGAAAATTCTGGAAGACAGATGGTTTAATGTACAAATCTCTTATTAGACAAAAATTCCACCATTCCTAGGGCTGCTGCATGAAAAGATTTGGTGAGACTACCACTCTTTCCTATTGCCAAACAGAATAATGAGTCCAGGCCATAAAAATGCAGTTACTAAATCAAAAGATAATATCAAGCTAAACAGATTAGAAAAGAGTGCAAGTCTAACAATTAGCTCCACGATACAGACAGAAAACACTAAGATTACCATACCGAGAAAAACCCTCATCCATTTCTTTTTACCAAGTAAAGAAGTAAATTTATTCAACATTACCCAGAGAGTGCAATGTGTGTGTGTGTGTGTGTATTACTGAAACTCCTTTAGCTGGATAAAGAGTCCTAAAAGTTCATAAGAGTATCCAGATTATGTACAATATATTTACAGCATAGCCCATAAACCAAAGATTGCAAATGTGCATATTTCATGCTACGTACAGTTTACACTTTTCATCAAAACATCAAAGATTTCGTTCTTCTCATACATTCCAAAGAATGCATAAAGGGATTGTATTCCCAAAACCTTTTAAAGGCAGTACAGATTATAACCCAAGAAGATTTTGGAATAAACACAGCAGCCAGTTACAATTAAAATGCAAATGAAGATGAGAAGCAGCTTCACAGAAACTTATGCACATATAACATCTGTTGCAGATACAGATCTCTTATCTTTGTAACTTATCCTACAGTATAAGTGCCTCATAAGCTGCAATTCATGTTAAACAAACCACTTTTGGAGGAGATTTAATTCTCTAAATTTATTTTCATGGCCATTATATCACTCCTAATGTTGTGTTATGCAGTCAATCATTGCAGGACTTGACTGTGAACTTCCCATCTTTAGTTGCTTTCCAGAATAGAGAATCTAATTCAGAACCTAATTCAGAGAATTTCCAGTTTTTTTCTTCTTTTTTTGGGGAAATATCAAGCTATTTTTTTCTACTTCCGGATTCATAAGAGTTCCAGCTGAAATTAATATTCTAGCTATCTCCATTTCTCGCAATCTGCCACAGTAGCCTCTTATTGACTACTCGTGTATGCATATCAGGGATTTGTTCTAGGCTTCTAGCCATTTAACCTGCCAAAATCTTGTTTTCTTCTCATCAGCCATATTTGACAAGATAATAGAATTCATCCTAAAAGCTTTAATATCTCTCCAAAGAAGTACAACTCAATTTGATATGTTAGCAGGTAACTAGTGCTATGAAAAATATATTATAGGTCTATGTAACACTACTTTTTCGAGGTCACCAAAAAACTTCTCAGCCTCCACCCCTCCTCCCCAATACAAAAAAAGGAACGATGAGAAAGTTCTAGATAAACTTATATATTAGCTAGCATAGGTTATGCTATGGCACCGGAAAAACCAAAAAGCCAAGTAGAAATTTGACCGTAAGGTGAAATATTATGTTGCATGGTACCAGGCATCAAATTTCTCGAAATCAAATGGAATTTATCTATGAACTGGATCACTATGTCACTTAAGCTTGAATCAGAAAAAATCAACATGCTTTCACATGCTCACACAACTCCAACTTGCTCCCTCCCTTTCCCCACCCCCAAAGGAAAACTTGGCCCCAGCCCTTACATCTATATTCTGTTATAAAATTAATATTAAAGTGTATAAGGTATAGATAGAGGGGGGCACCCATTTTCCACAATTGACACGAGTTTTCTTCATTCTTTTAAACTCATATTGATATCTACAAAAATCTTAATCCATTGCTTACAAAGTATTTAACTCTATCCACTAACAATGAGACATACCTGAGCTCGAGCACAGACATAAAATCTGCGGCCCAAATTGGGGCCTGCTTTTTTAACAATCCGTGGAACACAAGGTTCTCGATGGCCCTTACAAAGAAGTACGCTATTCTGCATTAATTGCTGAATCCTTTGCCACTCCTGTAATGCCACTTTCCTCTTCTCTTTATCTGAATCGCATGCATCTAGCTGGCCTTCATTTTGAATATTGTCAATAACATTTAATCTGCAGTCCTTTGAAGGACCACTTTCATCATCAGCAGAAGGAACTCCATTGAGGTCAATCTGAGAGTAAGAAATGTCTGTCTGACAAATTTTAAAATCAGCAGAGCTACTGTCAGAAGTCTCACTTCTAGTGCATTTCTGGAAGAATGAGTTGAGTGTGAGCTGAGACCCCTGACCATGCCTTGATTTCTTCTTGGCTACAATGCTCGGCAGAATATTAGCATTATTTCGAGAACCAAGCACCTTAATTTGCGAAGCTTTACTATCGTAGTTCTCTGGAGTTGAGGTAAACTTTTCCTGACTTGGGAACAGAGGGCTTATCCTTTCCTCTGAAATAACTTGCTCAGTTGATTGCCTTCTTGCGAACATAGACACTGCAGTTTTGAGCAGGAAATTTCAGCAACAAACTATAATATGATAAACTGAACGCAATGTCGCACTATATTTACAAAAACCAAACTTAACACAGTAACTCAAAACATACATGATGATTAAAAGGACACCTTGACTGATGGATAAACACAAGTAGTTATACTTGACAAATCATGAATATGGAACACAGAAATGGAAACATTACAAACTCCTCATATCACTTTATTGGCAATCAAGCATGATCCTTTTGGTTGCAGTAACTGACTACTCACTGTTTAAAAGCCTTTCGGAAAATGTAAGAAAGATATAGGTTAGATTGATTTTTTCTTGAAGTAAAATTTCTGCGACATTCCTCTACTTTTAGACATTATGATGACCTCCCTTCCTAGAGACAAACAGAATTGAGACTAGCAGCTATGCTAGATTAATTTCTTTTCCACTTTGTTTTGAGTTGATCTGAACTTGGAGAAAAAGAAATAAGAGATTGATTTGACGCACTAGGTAACTAGCATGAATATGAACGCCCTAGATTGTTTGCTGCTCTAATACTACCTATCAATAATAAACCCATACGTCTTATTTGCATATTACACATGCTGATTTCTATCACATTCTGGAATAAATTTTGGCAAAAACAGCAATAAACTTGATTTAAAGTAGTGCCTGTGAAATGTGTGAGCAGACATCTATATCAAAAAAGTTCGAGTAAAACAATCGCAACAGCGTCCAATAAAATTAATATTCATGCAACTTGACTAGAGACTCTCACCAAGAGTTTGCTGACTCCCGTAGACCTGGGGATGGTATCTCGTAGACAATGATGGGGTGCTATGCTCCAATACTTCAGGGATTTCCACTAAACTCGTGTAAACTGGAACATGATCAGAACCTTCTAATTTGATGCTCCTCCCTCCTTTCCACCTGTAGAATGTGGATTCTCAAGTATAATTGCGAGATCCTCCATCACCATGTTATGGGTCGATGAGTGATAAAAATTGTTAACTCAAACGATAATGAACAATTGAATATCCAATCAGAAAAGTTGGCCAATCATGTATGTGCTTAACTACTCAGCTACTTCTGGAGACAATCTTTTGCACTATATATTTTTCACTGGAAACAAGAGCCGCAGAATATAACTAATGTTAGATAGTTATGTAAATAACGTGAATTAGTCCTAGACATGGAATAGGAGTAGGACATGTATTGTATAAATAGGGCTCATAGTATTATAATTGAATAGAATATCAATAATATATTTGTCACCCGTGCTTTCTCACATGGTATCAGACCAATAGTGAGAAAATACTCGATGTGCAATCTACCAGCGCTTCGGGGAAGAAACAGTTTGTCGTGCAACTTTTCCGGTGGTTGTTTGCGTCAAAGTCACTATTTATCAGTGTTGTGCACAAACCAACACCAGGAGCCATAAAACCAATGCAGCCTCGGGAAGAAAACCAACGCGGTTACTCACCTTGACGATCTCATGCTAATCACGGAAGCAAGCTCGCATTCCGCTCAGGGCCTCTTCGATCTACTTGACGACTTCACCAACGATTCTGGTCTCAAGAAGAAGAGCAAATTGTTGATATCAGGAAAAAACATCCTACGCAGGCAAATTTCCAGCATACTGGGTCTCGAAGAAGGGACCAAAACATATTTGCCGATCCTTGTCCCCTAAGACCTAAAAAGAAAGCGATTAGGCAACCTTCCATTGCTGCGGCTTGCACAACAACACCACCATAAGGTCCGGCGTAGTCCCGCAACTAAACCCCATCAAACCTCACCGGAAAAATATGCCCCACGCACCCTCACGCGCCGGACAGACAGAAATTTCTTCGGCGAGATTTGTGCATGTGTCGGGCGCGTGAGCCCTCTTACAATCAGATTCTGACAAAGGTCCTTCAGGACAGCTGACTCGCACAGTAATTCCGAGCCTACCCATCCAATTGAAACCAAGTTCCGACAACTTTATTTTTTTTGGGCATAAACAGTGCACTTTTTCTGGCGTGAACAGTGATTTTATGTTGTGAACAGTATTTCCTCAGATATTTCTTCAGTTTTTCGCTATTTCAAGGGAAGAACTTGGTTTCTAGAGGTCGTCTTTCCTTTTCCAACTCCGTCTAACTAAGAAAAAAAGGAAGTCTCCAGCTTAACTTGTTCTGATTTGGCATTCTAAGGTTAACCATACAAGTTTTAGTCAAGAATTTGAGAAATTGGTTGTAGCGAAATGGGATCCAATACTGTGAATAATTGGATGGTTTCTCTACCATATTATATTGAGTTCCTTCAGTACAAAGCATATAAACAGACATCTTCAGAGATAGCTTCCATTGTTCAAACAGGTAATAGCGTGACTTGTGTCTCCCCTTCATCCTCCGATTCTTGGGTCATTGATTCAGGTGCATCTGATCATATTTTTGGTAACAAATCTCTTTTCACTACTATTTCATATTCTCAATCTCTTCCAACAGTCACAATGGCCAACGGGTCTCAAACCATGGCAACTGGAATAGGTCAAGCAAGTCCACTTCCTTCCTTACCTTTAGATTCAGTTCTTTATATTCCCGGCAGTCCTTTTAATCTCATAGTCGTTAGACGCTTAGCCAAATCACTTAAATGCTCTGTTTTATTTCTTGAAGACCTTATTTTTATACAAGAATGCAGTACGGGACGAATCATTGGTACCGAGCGTGAATCAAATGGACTTTATTACCTTATCCTTGCTAAATCACGTGAACTCACATCTTGTCTTTCTTCAATAACTTGTCTTGTTACCGATTCACCAGATTTATAACATAAACGATTGGGAGTTTGTCAAAACTTTAGAAAATGGTACCTGGATTACCTCACTTGTCCACTCTAGAGTGTGAGTCATGTCAGCTCGGTAAGCATACTTGCTCTCATTTCCCTCAGCGTCCTGATAATCAAGCAGAGTCACCTTTCACTTTAGTCTATTCAGATGTTTGAGGTCCTAGTCGGGTCAGTTCTACCTTAGGATTCCGCTTAACTTTGTCAGTTTCATTGATGATTATTCCATGTGCACTTGGATATTTTTGATGAAAAATCGATCTGAGTTATTTTCTATTTTCCAGACCTTCTACGCTGAAATTCAAAATCAATTTGGGGTTTCTATCCAAACATTTCGTAGTGATAATGCCCTAGAGTATTTATCTTCTTCATTTCAGCAGTTTATGAACTCTCATTGGAATCATTCATCAAATATCTTGTTCGTACACATCTCAACAAGATGGGGTAGCTGAAAGAAAGAATACATCTCATTAAAATTGCTCGTACCCTACTCATACAATCTAATCTTCCGTTGCGTTTTTTGGGGGGTGCAGTTCTCACATCCTGTTATTTTATTAATCGTATGACATCCTCAGCTGTCAAAAATCAAGTTCCATTCTTTGTCTTGTTTCCCCACTCACCTTTGTTCTCTCTTCCACCCCGTGCCTTTGAAACCATGTGCTTTGTCCATAACCTTACTCTAGGAAAAGATAAGTTAGCTCCTCGTGCTCTTAAGTGTGTATTTCTAGGTTACTCGAGAACGCAAAAAGGATATCGATGCTAACCTCCAACGGTATCTTATGTCCGCTAAGGTGATATTTCTAAGGTGCTACCAGTTCCATCTTTTGGGAGATTCAATCACTATTATCCATTCATCTTCCTCCACAACTCCAGCTCCACCACCTACAGCTCCAATTCCAGCTCCACCACCTACAACTCCAGTTTCAGCTCCACCACCTACAACTCCACTACTCCTAACTTGTCATCGTCGTCCACACCCAGCATCAGGTCCGGCTTATTCACGTCCTGCACCGGACCCTGCTCCTACTGCGGACTTGTCGCCTCTTAGTCAACCGATTGCACTTCGAAAAGGTATACGGTCCACACTTAATCCTAATTTCAATTATGTCGGTTTAAGTCATCATCGTCTGTCATCTAAGTTACTCGGACTCGGCAATTTGGGAGCCATACCCGTGTCGACACGACACTGACATGGGTAAGGGTGTGGGATCTGGGTCGGATCCGGTCAAACGAGATTGGGTGAGTTAACCAAAATTTTGGGGAAAATTTTGAGAATTGATTTCCCTAAATAAAGATTTGAATAGATGGGAAACGAAATACCTTCAATTACACTGTTATGTAGCAATTTATACTAGTCCTTTTGAAACTTTTTGCCTTGATCAATGTTCTTGTTCATGCTGCAGGTTTCTGAAATCAAGAGCTATAGTATTTTTTTAGGGCAGAGAAGTTGAAGATGGGTGGTGGATTACTGGACTGAGGCTTATTTGGAATGGCTCGGGTCTTGTTCTACTGGAAAAAAAGCAGAGACATGGAAAAACTTTTGTTGGGGAAGAAGAAGAAGACAGCGATGCAGAGAATAAGGAAGAAGAAGACTTAGACCAGACAAAGAAGAAGACAGGAATGCAGAGAATAAGGAAGAAGAAGACTTAGACCAGACAAAGAAGAAGACAGGAATGCAGAGAATAAGGAAAAAGACTTTAGACTAATTAAGAATTGACTACTTTATTAGTTGATATGTTTGCTAATATTCTACCGAGATAAACATTACATATACTATGTCTTCAATAGTTTTTTGTTTATAAAAATTACAGTTTTAATTATACCAAAAATAGTTATAGTTTTAATCAAAATAATAAATAATTATTTAATTGTAAACTAAATATAATTGTATATGCTTTAAAGACACATATTTTTATTTGAGTAAACTTCATATATATTAAATAAGTATATGCTCTAAATAAACAAATTTTATTAATTTACCTAATTATACTATTTATAAATATTTTCTTTCTCAAAGAAACGGGGGATAATTTCTAAATTAATTATTAGCATTTAATTTTTTGACAAATTACGTTCTCGCGAAGATCATGAAAATTTATAAATTGTACATAATAGAATTGACCCTTTAGTTCTCCACTATATGCTATGTTGTGACACATATTTTAAGACTAATTATAAATTACATGATTTGAGAATGAGCTAAAATAATTTTTAAAAATGACAAAGAAGAATATTCTTATATTATATTTGATTAGGACTACCAATTAATTGAGTTATCGAAATACTTGAAATATAATTAATTATTCATGGTTAATGTTATATAGCTTTCA